ATTATACACAATATATAATAATAGTATTTTACAGTTTTTATGTACAAATTTTTGTAATATTAAATATATATATGACGTATTGATAATACATATTATATTTGCATCTTTATGATTGTTCATATCAATAACAAAGGAAAATTGTACGTAATTTTTCGGCAAATTTTCTGTTTAATATAAAAAAGTGTTATTAATCTGTTAGTTAAAAAACTATTTTTTTTATTGTTGTATCACATTATGTGTTACATTAACATATCTTTTCTTCTTTCACTATTTATACATGCAGCCATACCTGCTGGAATTCTTCAATTCCCATTTTATGAATTGGGTCTTGAGTAAGAATAGAAATAATTATTTTTATTATTAATTTTATGTATAAAAAATAATAAATACAGAAGTAAATATTATTACAAGTAAAAAAGAAATGTAGAAAATAAATAGTAGAAAGCATGAATTCTTCGTAAAGTCATTATATTATATAATGAGAAAAAAAAAATTTGCATCTTTTTTTAAATAATTGCAGAGCTTTAAATTATGGCGCCATCGGCGCAATACTTGGACATGAATTAACTCATGGATTCGACACTAGTGGTCGGCTTTACGATGGCGATGGAAATCTCCGGCAATGGTGGACCAATGAAACCATTTCAGAATACTCGAACAGAACTCAGTGCTTCATAAATCACTATAATACTTATTACGAAGTCGAGGCAAGTCTAATAATCTTATTACAAAACATTTAGTATTAAAAAAGTTTATTTAATAAGACTCCGTCTTTTAAGAAATAAAAGAAGTGATAAAATAAAACAATAAGAGGGACTTTAAGTATTAAATAAATAGATATCATACTGATAATTTCTTATCATTTCTTATATAAATTTTATTTAAACGTTATTTAAATTTTAATTAAAATATTTAATTTTATTAAAGTAATATGTTTTAAAGTAATATCTTTTTAATATTTAACATTTCATATATAGCCTATTGTAAGTTATATTTTAATCTATGTAAGCATTAATTTTTTTATGTATAAATCAACTTTAGTTTTAAGAAGTTGAATAACCTGATCATATCGATGAGTTAATGATATGTCTTGTATAGGTTGACGATTACATCGATGGCGAACTGACCTTGGGAGAAAACATCGCCGATAATGGTGGTCTTCGCGAGGCCATCGTCGCTTACAAGAGGTGGAAGGCTCGGCACGGTTATGAGCCTTTACTTCCGGGATTCACAGAATTTACGCACGAACAGTTACTTTTTCTTTCTTTTGCGCACGTAAGTCAACATTCCAATTATAACATAGTAGTCAAGTCTCAATCATCATGTTTTGGTATATCCAAATAAAAATCTCTTAGCTTCATAAAGTTTTCGAATGCTTAAGGTAATAAAATAAAAAATTTAATCGATTAATAAAAAAGATATTTTAAGTGATATTTTAAACATTTTTGTTTACGTGTCAATTTCCATTTTCTTATCAGTTTTACATTTTTATAGGAAAGAAGTCGTTAATAAGTCGTTGTTGATCTATTTTTAAGTAAGGGATTTAAAAGGCTTAATTAATAGAAAGACAAATCCGGAATTCCCAGATTTGATTTATATTCAAATTAAACATATATTTTTAATAAATTGTAAAATTCTTCAATAATTTGGTAATTAATAGTTTATAGAACTAGAACTTTTCATCTCTGCTTCTTTCTTATTTGCTGCCTTATTTAAATTCAAAATCAAGTATACTAGATAAATAAAAACTAACTGCAAGATCAATAACGATAAATTACAATTGGCATATATTATTTATCTAATAACAATAAATTAATTGATATTACTTACCCAGAATTTATTATAATCCTAGAAAAAATTATAAAATGTTCTTTCAATCTATTTTTAATCTATTTTATGATATTAAGACTGTGTGTGTTCCTCTATATAATTATGTGGCATATAACATTTTTGCTTATGCTAAATTTATATATATCATCTCTTTATTAAATAAGTTCTTTGTGAAAATCGCTCTTAGTATTATTCAAGGTATGAGTAAATGTTAATTATATCACTGTTTTAGTTGTGGTGCGAGTCTTATACTGCTACATCACTAAAGTGGATGATGGAAGATTCTCATTGTCCCAATCATGTGAGACTTCAAGCTGTACTGAAAAATTCCAAAGAATTTAGTACTGCATGGAATTGTCCAGCAGGATCGACCATGAATCCGTCGAAAAAGTGTCGTTTGTGGTAAAACTTGCGTCTTCGACAAAAACAATATTTGTTATTTAATATCGTTGATTAATCAAATGTTTATCATTTATCAGGCCAGTAGGTTCGCGTGCAAAACAATAATAATCTATTGTTAATTGAAATAATTAATTTTTTATCTCGTGAGAGTCAGTAAATTTTGCAATAATGCAATATCAAATAATAAATAGAATTTTTATGTTCTTTCTATTTTGAATTTAAATAAGTGAGAACTAATATAGATTTACAGAGTTTTGTGCATGAACTGCAATAGCTTTAATTATTATTATTCGTTTGTTATATATGTGACGAATTATTTCTATGTAATTCGGTAAAGTCTTTCGCACTGATACGTTGGATATATATAATCAAGAAATCTAAAAGTGGTCCAAAATGTTTGTAATAAAAGGACTTTATTTCCGTAAAGAAATGTTTTCTAACTCCTATAATCCTTTTAATCTTAATAACGTTTTGACAATTTTTAAATGTCTATTCGATACCTTTGATTTTGTGTCATTCTGATTGTATTGAATCTAAAATTATACTAGTATGCTATAAATATTTTAAGTTTTATTCCATTAATTTCTATCTTGTTGTCTTTGATCGCTGCAATACTTATTTATATTTATTTTTGATAAGGATAGAATATTGGATTGATGAAGAAGTTTCTTTGTTTTTTGGTTTATTAGTGTGCAAAAATGTTACGCAGAAAATTACTTATAAGAAATTAAATTCAAAAGATAAATTAAAATTAGGAATAAAACAAAGAGAAAGAGAGACTGAGAGACTGTATAATATAATTAAACATTGAATATTTCAACAATTTGTATGTATATGTTAGTAGAATTATCAGTCCATGAGGTGATGTCTTTTGGAGTCAATCACAAGATATTGGTGTGCAATAAGATTTATTTATTCACATATCTTAGCCAAATCAATCATACGTTTCGATCCTTGATTCGGATTCTTTTCAATGTCGCTTAAACGAAATCATTGGACTTCCCGATGCACTGTACAATAATAATTGAAACATTGTTATATAATTATATAATAATGCACTACAAAACATTAATAGTCTATTTTAATTTATTTTAAAAATTATAAAGGTAAACATATAGTTAGGTCTTGAACTTACATAATATTTGTTAAGAGTACAAAATTGACATGTCATTTATTTCGGATATTATGATATATCTAAACAATTCTTTGTTATAGTATGCGTAGAAAATTAATCTTAGATAAGAGAAAATATTGAAGAAACGAAAACGTCAATTATTAATAAATAAATTGTTATATACTTTGTCCAATAAATTCGTTAGACACGATTTTTATTTAGAATACATTTACACGATCTTTATTTAGAACACACACAAACAATTAGAACAATCGTATACGGCGGAGAAATTCAGGAGCACATCCGAACGTAGTGACATGTGACGTGATGACGTTCCAACCGCAAAATCTGTCAATCTGTCAAATCCGTTAAATAGCTGACAATGAGCTACTGTTCGTTCCGGCGCGCTTTTCATACGTTTCACTCGACTTGTTCGGAGATGCACTGCACGGATATCGGATGCAAGCATATTTAGATATTTTAAGATCAAAGGATAGAGGGTGCTTTCTATTTGATGACACGAGTCGATATAAGTGTCGTTTTATTTTTGTCACTCTCCGAATGTCAAGTAGGACAACGCTTGTGTCGACTTGTGTCATT